GCCTTCTCTGATCTCTGTTTTAATCCGTTCGTCAAAGCCATGAGCAACTTCTGCACGGAGTCTTTGAACCGCTCGATCTTCTCTTGTACTGCTACTCAATTAGTAACGCTACAACTCACTCCCTCACTCCCTCTTAATTTGCAATTAGGGTTTTCCATTGCCCCATTTTCCGTCATTTTTACACCGCTTACATGAAGCGCAGGTTCGACGATTTCGAAATCTTCGACGAGGAATGGGATAAGCACTCATCCACCTTCAAGCCCTCATGCGTCCTCAAGAAGCCTCGCACCCTGACGCCGCGCCCAATCGAGTCCTTCGACTTCCGATCATCCCCCAAACCCCAACAACTCTACGACGAAGATGAAAACTCTGATTGTGTCGAGATTAAACCCGAACTGGAGGACAACGATTCCGATTGTGTCGTGATTAAGAACGAATGGGCACCAGGCATTATCGTATGCTCTTCGAAGCTCTTAAACCCGAACGTTGCAACCAAACCCACCTCAGATCGTGAACTAGAGTTACGAAATCTGAGAAACCCGGCTTCTAGGTGAAGGAAGATTTTGTGAAAACATGTTCATTTGAATAACATCTATAAGCATGCAATTAACAATTAAAGGCGGAATCATGCTAGCATGCATTCAAAAACAAAACATTACCCATGAAATTCAAAGCCTAGTAGATTGGTGAACCAAGACTCAACTCAAAAACAAAGTGAGTTGAGATTTATACCTTTGTAGATTCCTCTTTGCATAAGCAAAGGTTAATCACTCAAAGAGAGGGCATTCATTCCTTGCTTCTTAAATCTATAGATTTGGATGGAAGAATAGGATTCTCCAAGTTCCCAAAATAGAGAACCTCTAAGTTTCTACACCAAGGTTAGATTAGAGAAGAAATGAGTGACCTTGGAGGAGTTGGATTGCTAGCTAATCCCTCCAAGGGGGCCGGCCTCTTTAGAGAGAAAGGGAGAGACATGTTATCTCCAATTTTCTCCAAAAGAAACCCTTAATGAATTTAGGCTATAAAGTCCTTTATATAGTCCCTTCAAATAAGTGACCTAAAGAACCAAAAAGCCATTCTCTCTAACATGGCCGGCCATAAGGGTTTATTGGGCTTTTGGGCCTTTGTGAATTAAGTTGTCATACAACTTAAGTCAATGGGCTTGACGTTCGAAGTTCATTGGGCCTTGAGGCCCAAAACTAACCCTTGGTCTTTTAACGAACTTTATTCGTTTGATTAATTAACATATTAATTAATCCTTGCCATAAATTATTAAATAATTAAACCATTTAATTATTCTTACTCATCTCCATTGTTTCTTCAATCTCCACCTTACTCGGTGTACGATCCATTAGGTTCCTTTTAGCGAGGCAGTGAGCAATTAAAACCATTTCAAATCGATTGTGAATTGAAACTTACTTTCAATTCTTCCTTTAGTGATTATACACGTTTAGGGCTTCCACAAACCATGAGTGACACCTAGCAGCATATCATGGTTACCCAAGCTAATCAGAAGAGGTGGAGAACCTATTCAGTTTAGGATTACAAATGCAATACGGTCTTTCTCTAATACAATACTCTTGACCACATTGTTTGGTTTGATAGTTTATTCATGTCTACTATCCAATGTGATTCGTGTGCTTATATGATTACCTTGAATGTGATTTGGAACGTCTTCCTAAATCTCATTCATACTCTGATCAGAGATTTTCAATCATATCATAGAGTATTCTCCCTCAAACGATTTGAAGGTTAGAGATCCCTTGTTGCGCATTCACTTGCCTCCACGGCTAAGTGGCTTAACCCCAACGATGCCGTGGACACCCGCAGATGGGGTGACTTTGACATAATCAAAGATCAAGAACTTAACCACAAGATAACTGTGATGCCTCAGGTCAAATGACTACTTTGCATTATCCCAACCATGAGTTCTCATGTGACATGAATATGAGAACTCTTCGTTGATCGTGTTCAGTGAACTCATTCTCTATTGAGCACCTACGTACTTGTCTTTATGTCACACACACCAATGACTCGAGACTAGTCACTCTCCCTGAGAGAAGACACAGCATGTACTGATCTTAACGGACTGTCAATGCCCAATTGGCAATCCTATGATCAGGAACGTTTAGGATGTGTCTACGAAAGAATGGTCTCATGAATCTAACTTCTTTAGATTGCATTCTCCCAATCACATATTCCTTGGACTTATCGTTTAAGCATATAACATTTATATGAGACGGCTCAAACAATAACCTTTGCCCTTTATATTTAAACTACGTTAGTTTAACTTGTGAAATGTCCGTAAAGAATCATCATATGATTGGTTTTAGGGCACATTTCCAACACTAGGTAATCTTGAAATCGGGGGATTTAGTGGTTTTCAGGAGATGTAGTGGCGGAGCAAGGCGGATGAAGGAAGAATATATGGATTTGGTGATGGGTCAGAGTCAAAGGGAGCTCCAGAAATCGCAAAAATTGAGATTAGAGCCGTCGTGAGGACCTGGTGCGACGAGGCGTCGCAGGAGGATTTGGGGAAGCAGAGGTGAGGCTTGGGGAAGAACCTGGTGCAACACAGATGTCAGGGGTTTTGAGAAGGATGAAGACGAAGGTGACGGTGTCGATGAGGATGGCGACGTAGGAGAGCCTCTTCAGGAATATCTCGATGTGCCTCTCCATAACGGAGGAGATCGGAAACAAGCTTTGTATCGATGGTGGGTCTGAGTAGAAAACTGGATCTTCGTTTGCTGAATGATGTTACACTTGTCGCTTTATCCGACAGTTGAATTTTCTGAAAAGCCCTCGTGTTTGATAAAATTGCATCTTTGGCCTGTTCTTTTTGCCTCGATTTCCAAACCTCTCTTCTCAGGTTTGCATCATTTTGGGTTTTGCAGATTTTGCAGATTCTGCAGATTCACGGTGGAGGTAAAAAAAATGAAAGAGAACCGACATAGTTTTTTGTGTCAATTCCCACAGACGGCGCCAAATGTTGATGCACAAAACCAGAGGTCTTGGAACAACGTAAATCCGACTGTGAATCTGCAAGAAATGTAAATAACACAAGATGTATCGTGGTTCACCCCAAGGTTTAGGCTACGTCCACACTGATTGTATTGTATTTCTCTAAGAAGCGAGGGAAAGAGCCTCTGTAATATGAGAGGGGATGTGAGAGGGTTTCAGGTATAAGAGTTGGCCTCAGAAATGGCCTCCCCTAATTATGAGGGTGAGGGGTCCTTTTATATAATAAGGACTCTTCACTTATTACATATTTGCCCTTTCTTTTACCACATAATTAGATTTAAGTCCCTCGAGTATTTATACGAGATCTAAATACGAGGCCCTAAATATGGTATAAACACTATCCACTGTAGCATACTTAGGATAAACCATAAGTTCATCCTCAAAACATGATTTATAAGAAAACACCTTTCATCAGAATCATCCTTTGGACAAACATGTCCTTGTAAGCTTTTTTCGTCCGCAATAAAAGCAAACTTTAAACAAATTTCTCATAACTAACCAATATCTGATTGTCCTAATCCTTGCTAATAATGACTCTCTTAAAAGGAAAACGTAAATTGACTTCCATCAAAATCTGGACAAAAAGTCCATTTAGTCTCATCGACCTTGACGGTAGCACCCATAGGCTGAAAAATATCAGCAATGATTCGTTGCTCATGAAACTAAATAGGTAGTCTAGGTAAACGAACCCAATCCTACAGATTTGACCCTATCCACATCCCTGAACTCAGGTGTCCATATCTCAAAATGGAAAATTTACCTTTTGCCATACTATGGGCTATTATCTAACACAAACTACAGTTCATTTTCGTTAGTGAACGCAACCGCAAGCAATTTGTGACCAAAGTGGTCCAAATAAAACTAGTAATTGACTCCAATCTTCCAGATTAAGCTCATCTTCCATTTGATCAATCTAGCTTCCAAGTGCTTGCCAAACATTTTACCCCTGAGCACTCCCATTTCCCAATGCTCGACAATAACAGAAGAGACTAAGTTGGTTTGCACTATGGTCACCCCTTCTATATGGTGAAAGTGTTGTTGGCTCTCTCAATCACAGTGGGTTGTCACCCAGGTTGAGGAACCGGAAAAAGGTTTGACCCAAGAAGGTAACCTAGGATTAAGAACAAGTCTTTGTCTATGAGAAAAAGAGGCCTCAAGTTGTGATCTAGGAGCTATATGGTAGTAAGCTAAGTGAGTAAAGTTTGGCCTCAAGATATAGTTTCAATTGTCTTATCCTAGCCAAACTAGAATCCTAGCCAAATTAGATACAGCTTAGTTGTCTACATCAAACAATATACAAAACTCCAAACCTATCCACTCTAATCCTAACTTAACTGTTTCGAAATGTGAAATCCAATCTTAACTGGGCTATCAAACGTGCCCTAAATCTTCCAACAACCCGTTTCTTAGCATGTACAAATAATACTTGTCCTGCATACTCGTTGATAATTCCGAGCAAATCCAAGTTGAATCTTTATATCAACTACTGCGTCGTACCATGCTTCGCAACCTTTCTCTATTTAAATTGTAAAGTAACGTGAGAGTGAAATCTCACTTTAATACTTGTTAAGAATATTATTTAATAGTAGTGACTTGACAAATGTCTAATTTGTTAAGTAGTAGGTAATTATTTGAAATGTTTTAAAATGTTAAGAGTCGAAACAAATTTGTTAGACGACTTAACCCATATTTATTTTAGTTTGAGAAATGCTAAAGACATTCTCTTAAAGTCGATCTCCATAAACTCTCCATCATCTCATATATTTTTATACAATATTTTATAGGAGTGTGATATTCATACATCCTTTTAATTTTCGACCGTCGGATCAGATGAATTAAAAAAGATCAAGAACATAAATCAACAAAAGGTGTGTAAGAAGTAAAAATGAGTGTGTGGATAGCACACTCCTATTTTATAATGTTAATCCCTTTACCATTTTCTCTAAATTTTTTTTTGGAGATCTCTTTTTGTTTTGCCCATTTAGGAAAATCCATTACTTTTCTCTGTTCCTCCACTCTCTCTCCTGGACTCCTTCCCCTCCCCGCATTCTCTCTCTCCCTTTCTCGCTTTCTCCCGCAGCACGGCAGGGACGACGGCGCCGCTGTCCTTCGACCTTTAATGACCCCAAACCTGGTATTCCTAGAATCCTCTCTTCATACCATTCCAAATCTTTACCTTATTTCATCAAATTCGAAGCTAATAGGTTCGATTTTCAGATCTAAGCCGTGAAAGTTCGTGGATTTTCCGGCCGGAAGTTCGTGGATTCTGCGCTAGGGGTAGAATTGTCATTTTATTCTTTTCCGGATAAAACACTTCCTAAGATGATGGTGGAGGATCTTGGGGTGGAAGCCAAGGAATCGGCGGTTCGCGAGGTCGCCAAGCTCTTGCCGCTTCCCGAACTCCTCCAGTCCATATCTTCCATCAAGGCCGATTACATTGCCCGCCAACAGGTTTTTCCCCCTTTTCTTTTTCTTCAATTTATTTTTTAGTAATTTTCATTTTTTCCTGATGTTATTTATGTAATTAATGAGAGTGTATTTGAATTGGAAACTCTAATTAATGAATATATGCTTGCATATTTAGGAGATTGCAAAACATTTTTTTAAATGATTTTAAATGTTTGAAAATTCAACATAATTTGGAGTTGTTCTGTGTTTTCAGGCAAATGATGCACAGCTTAGTACGATGGTCGCCGAGCAGGTACACCATGTGTAAATTTGATCAATATTTCCAGAGGTCTTTCTTTTTGTCATAGTCGAAAGTTGCTGGTTGATTACCAGTAGCATTACGGTCTAGTGGTATCGCTCTCGAGTTGGTCAGAGGTCTTATGTTTGTTGTGTAGCCGAAACCCCACTTCCAATATTGTTGTATAGAAGTTATGTTTCTTGTTTATAGTCTGTTGACTCTTAATTAGTATCACAAGTGTCTTACAAAGGAACTGTTTTTCTTGTAGGTTGAACAAGCACAGACCGGGTTGGAATCGTTGTCCTTGTCTCAAAAGTCAATAAACCAACTCCGCGAGAACTTTGTTTCTATTGAGAAGTATGTTGTTCATGGGAATTTCTAGAGGCTTTATGATTTAAAACAGATTTCTTTTGTGTGTTGCACTGTATAATATTAATAAGCAATTGTGCAACGTTGATGTGTTCATAATTCTTTGGTTAATATGATTTCCTTGTCATCAGGCTATGTCAAGAATGCCAGACATTGATTGAAAACCATGATAAGATAAAGCTCCTCAGCAATGCAAGGAATAACTTGAATACAACCCTGAAGGTTGGCAAGCTTTTCCTTTGTGATTCTGTTTGTGTGTATGTGCATAGTTTGGTTGATAATAATTAGATGTGCGAAGCTTTGGGATCTCACATTGTTCTATGGTTGCTCACTAGATATATATTGATCTTTGATAGGATGTTGAGGGTATGATGTCAATTTCTGTTGAAGCCTCTGAGGCTCGGGATTCTTTGAGTGATGATAAAGAGCTCATTAATACGTATGAGGTAAAAGTAGTGTTGCAAATTTAGTGTATTATGATATTTTTAAGCCTAATCTCTTATACTTTAGTTTGTTTTGGTTGCTACCTTATTTTTCTCATCTAATGATCCACTTATCTTTAAATTTAATAAAGCTCAGCAAACTTTACATTCCACATTGTATCTTTATGCTCCAAATTTTTCATTTTCATCCTTAAATTTGTTATAGAGGTTAACAGCTCTTGACGGAAAGCGGAGATTTGCATTAGCAGCTGCAGCATCTCACAAGGAAGAGGTTGGCAGGCTAAGGTATGTACATATCCTCTTTTCTAGTTCACATTGGCATTTATAGTTCTTTTAGCAATCTCAATACCTATGATGTTCTGTAACTATTTGTGTGTCCTGTTCACTTTGGGTCAGTTTGTTGAAATTGATCCCATTTGGGGTTGGCTTGATGAACCTGACAATGTAATAGGACTTGGGTGATGGTAATGGTCGCAATAATAGTTTTGTGTCATTCTATTTTGTTTATCTGATGCTTGCCATACATAATTCGTGATGACTTGTTACTATTTTTTTTCAATTTTGAATTTTGTGTACTGTAGTGTATATTTCGAAGATGTCGACAGGACCTGGGAGACATTTGAGAAGACCTTATGGGGCCATGTTTCCAACTTCTATAATCTTTCCAAAGACAGGTGCTTTTCTCCATTCTATGGATAATGGTTCAATAGGGGCAGTTGTATGAATCTGCTCTATGTGATGTTTGTCATTTAGTGTTCTGTAGAATTCTCTGCAGTGATTGAGGTTCAGGTATCCATCCAATAGAGAACAAAGTTGAGACTCTGAAGCTCCTTCAAACACTCCTAATTAAATGATTCCAACATGCTGCAGCCTTCCATTTGGGAAGAGTTGCTGAGAGGGAGTTCTTAAATTCCATAAATACTGAATTCCAGGGTGATCACCAAAATCTGGCCTTATACCAAAGTTCATTCGTCCTCAACCCGCTAAAATCTTTAAAATCCTTATATTTGTTTCTAAACATATGACCCAAAGGATGGCTAACATATTGCATCCCTACAAAGCATTTTTTTTTTTCTTTGATGATAAAAGATTTGCTTACGATGCTTTTAGTGTCCTCTCAGAGTAAGAGTATCATTAATTATTTTTGTTCTCACACTTTTCCTGGCTTTAATCTTTCTTTCTTTATGTATATTGGTTTCAGATCACAAATGCATTGAAGCATCCTGATAACTTTAATATGTATGTCGTTCTGAGTATGCTCAGATCCATCTAATGCTCTTTTTATCATTTCTATGTTGCAGCCCTCAAACTTTGGTTCGTGCTTTAAGGTATGAATCTGGGATACATTTCTGCAATTGTCTTCTTGTTATACAATGAACTGCTGTATTTTTTTTTCTTTACCGTAGCAGACTATTAATAATCTCTTCACGTCCGTTGAATACAGAGATCCTTGATAATAACCATGTATTGAAAATTAACCACTCTCTGGCTGTGAAATTTCATATAAAAATATTTGACTCAAATGGATTTAAAACCTAATTTTCTGCTACTTTATCTGGCTTAAACTGGAGTTCTATCTATTTTCTTAAAGCTCTGAATTCCTTTTTTGTGTTTATGAAATTATGGGTTCATACAGTTATTGTGTTAGATCAATGATAGTTTATATGGCAATGTTTTGTGTGTTGTTATCCTTTTTTCAATTTTTTTTTATGCTACTTCAATAGTTGATAACCATTTTGTTCTTCTGTTTTGTGTCCCCCTGTTAGGGTTGTTGAAATGCAAGAAATCCTTGACCAACAACTTGCTGAAGAAGCAGCTGAGGCTGAGGGAGGTGGTGCCATGGCAACAATTGCTGCAAATCCTCGTAGAACTGCCAAGTAACTATTTTGAATTGATTTTCAGTTTTATGTCTTATCTTCTGATTGGTGTATGACTCTTCTCATGATAGTCACCAAATATAATGCTAACATAGGGATATATCGTGTATGCATCTCCAAGTCATGTTACACATCAATACATCTTAACTGCAGAAAGTCTACCACATCAACGGCTTCTTCAAGAAACCTGGCACAACAGAAGTTGAATGTTCAAGGCAAAGGCTATAAGGACAAATGCTATGAGCAAATTAGGAAGACTGTTGAAGGACGATTCAACAAGCTACTGACAGAGGTACATTTGAAAATAATCATTTTGCCACATATTGATGAAAATTCCATGACTTCTTGTTGCCTTATCTTATTGGTATTGCAATTTTTGGAACAGCTTGTTTTTGAAGATCTTAAGGCAGCCTTAGAGGAAGCTCGAACGGTACACGCATTTATCTATTTATCTTGATGATCTGATAAGTTTTTCAATTGATTTTTGTGTAGTCTGGAACCAAGGATCAAAATGTTGATGTTGGTAGAAATATCATTAGGATTTATGGAAATGCCAACATGAATATTGATGTCTCTGGAAATATTGGTAGATTTTTAATGGAAGCTTGAAATTTTGTGTAATTTCGTTTGAATTAAATAAGAGTAGGTTTGGGATTTTATCCTTTTCTACCTTAACAACTATATGGCGGCAAATGATGTTTGTTTTCGTTAACACATTTCTCATGAAGGTTGTTGAATTGTACTTCTGTTTTAGTATCATGTTGTTCACTCTTGTTAGTTGTGGTGATTGGCTTTCTTGTGTTTCACTTTCTTTAATGATACCAGAACTGAATTGTTGTATTCAGTTTCCACTTTTTTTTTTTTTTTAATGTTCTAGATTGGAGAAGAGCTTGGAGATATATATGACCATGTGGCTCCTTGTTTCCCCCCAAGGTTTGTGCTTTATATTTTCCTTGGTTTACGACCTTTGAGCTATGCAACTGTTTGTTTTGGCTCCGGTCCTGAAAGGGTCTGATTGTCTAGGATAGATCTTAGAATTGAATTTATCAAGCATTATTGTGCAAACAAAAAGTGTTAAGGTTATTCTTAGCTTCTTATTTTTTATTTTTCCTCTAATCTATCTCTACTCCCTTGGTCATCACTTTATGTTTGTAATTTGGATTTTGGGTGGAAATTTCATTCGTTTGCTGGTAGTACCAGTTAGAGGGCAATGTAGCTAAGAAGAATAGAGGCTTTGGGGAATGAGAGTTTCGGAGCCCAAAACCTTTGAAAATCAGAACTTAAATACTATACTGAATATGTTTTATAACACAAGTTTAAGCTATTGGAGAATAAAGTAAGCAATGTATATGAAGCTTTCATAATTGATCTAATGGGTCAAGAGTATTCTAGGAAGTGGGTGCTTGCCCAAATTTTTCATGCACATGCTATGAATTTGGAAAGCATTTTGTTTAGAAAACTATCTTAACTAAATGTTTTATTTGATGCGATGGAAAATTCATTCTGGCAGATATGAAATATTCCAACTGATGGTCAATCTGTATACGGAAAGATTCGTTCAAATGCTTAGATTACTCAGTGACAGGGCAAATGAAATGACGAACATAGAGATTTTAAAGGTACTCTCCTGATTCCTTAATTGTTCCAAACTTGCAGACAGTTTTGCATTTCTTGAGAACCAACCTTGTATGCTATACATTTATACTAAATATAAATTATAAGTTTTGAAGATACCTCTTCTGCATGAAACTAAATGTTTGTCTGTATTTGATAAAAACATGTGTATGCTAAGAAATTGGTGTAGTGGTGAATGATATTTGTTTTATATTCTACTCTAATAAATACAATTAAGGGGCCAAAAGCTTTGACTCTTGGCATTGGGAGGGGTGGGGACAGGAACTAGGAATGCAATTATAAAAATAATAAAATCAATGTATTGTATTTTAAAAACTAAAACTGAAGTAATAAGACCTAACAAAACCAAATTTTGGATACAAAAAAGTTGGGTTACTACCTGTTGCTAAAGATAGGGTGAGAATCAATGTTCTAAAAATCGCTAGGTTGTAGGGAGGGGCCTAGGTGGTTTTTGTCTTTTAATTAAATTTAATATAAAACATATGAATAATTACATTCTTATATTTAAAAATCTCAATAAAACCTAATGTAAGTCCACTAGGTATAATAAAAAAAAAAAATTAGAAATGAAAAAGCCCATATACTTTCATTTGTATTACTAGGTTTATTTTGGACGTTTTTGATTGGGTCAAAAAGTCCATTAAACTCCAAGTCCATTTAACTTTTAAATGGAAAATTGAAAGATGCTGACATCCACTTAGATATAAGTAAATGTCGTTGTATAGCGTAAGTTATTTTAACAAGTTTCTATTCATCATCTTCTTGTTCTCGGTCACCACTATTCATGTATCATCTTCTTCTCGGTTGCCGCCAAACTTCATGCTTAGTAGGGTCGGCAGGCAGCTGCCTAGGCCTATTTTTAAAACACTGGTGAGAATGAGATGTAACAATCATAACTCTAAAACGTTTAAATAGAGTAGAAAATGTTAATAAAAAACCAGGACACCAAATATTCTAGAATACCTGCAGATCCGAGTAATTAGTTTTACTTGTGAAATTATCTTTCATTACTAACTATTCTTCAAGTTCAGAAGTTCATCTTACAACGTGAATTTCTTAGTCCTATTCCTACTGTCCTTTCTTGTTTGGAACTAGGTAACTGGTTGGGTGGTTGAATACCAAGAAAATCTTATTGGGCTTGGGGTCGATGAATCTCTTGCTCAAGTATGTTCTGAGAGTGGTTCCATGGATCCCCTTATGAATTCTTATGTTGAGAGAATGCAAGCTACGACAAGGGTAACAATATTCTTCTAATAATCTTCTTATGCTTTGTTTTACAGTTTTTCTTTCATGTAAATTCTGATGTCTTAAGATGTTTGCACTTATATTTTCTAGAAATGGTACTTGAATATCTTAGAGGCTGATAAGGTACAACCACCAAAGAAAACAGAAGATGGGAAGCTATATACACCAGCTGCTGTTGATTTATTCAGGATCCTAGGAGAGCAGGTGCAAATAGTTCGTGAGAATAGCACTGATCTGATGCTCTACAGGATTGCCTTGGCAATTATTCAGGTTATTTCAGCTAAGCTTTCATGCTGATACACTATTATAGTGCCTTGGCAAATATTTCTTGTTTTAATAATTTTTAGGCATTTAATCATATTTTGATTGCCCATATAAGTAGAGCTTAAATTTACAAGATTCAAAAGTTTTTGCCTGATGATTTGAGATAGGCATGAGTTTCCCTGGATTTGCTAATGTTCTTCCTCGGTTTCCTTGATTTAAGAATGCTTCTTCACTTGGTATTAGATGAAAAAATTAAAGAGCTGCAATATTGGTCTCTCTTATTCTTCAGGTAATGATTGATTTTCAAGCTGCTGAAAGAAAGAGACTTGAAGAACCTGCTTCGGAAATTGGTTTGGAACCTTTATGTGCAATGGTTTGTGAATTTCTTACCTTTAATTGTCTGTATTTTATTGATTGGTTGATAAGTAATTTACCAAAGGTTCTCTCCATTAAATTGTATGCAGGTTAACAACAACCTGCGCTGCTATGATCTTGCGATGGAGCTAAGTAATAGCACTTTGGAAGCTCTCCCACAAAACTATGCTGAGCAGGTTACGCAGCATCCGTAGTTGTTTTATTCATTCTGTATTAATCTTGATTCTTTTTATTACGACCCTCTGTTTCTTTGTTTTCAATCTTTCTGTTTAAAACTTTATTATATCCAGGTAAGGGGCTTATTTATTAGCTGCAGCTATTATCTGAAGTTTTTTTTTTCGTTTTCAATAAATGATTTCATTGCATGACTTGTACTAAATATGGGCTGAACTAGCCCAAGCTAAGTCCTCCTATTTGTTACTGTAATGAGCCTGTCCTATGGGTATTTGGGCAACTTAAGCTGCATATGCTGTCATCAAAACTGTGGCATTTAGGGGTGATTTTGAGATCGCCATGATAATATCAACCTTTCTTTTTCATTATGACAGGTCAACTTTGAAGACACATGCAAAGGTTTCCTAGAGGTTGCAAAGGTATTTTGGCTGTTGGAGTGTGTTTTCCCTTTTGGTACCAGGATTTTTATGTTTATTTTCCTTTTACATACAGTTGTTCTATATACACATATAGAAGTATATTGAGTGCACTAAAGACTCACGAAGAAGGATATTCGTTTGTGTTTAGATATAAATAATGAAGTGTCTTTCAATTATTATCTTCATGTCATTTCATAGCTATTGAGTTTTAATAATATTGCCTTAATGGTAGGAAGCTGTGCATCAAACAGTCTGTGTTATCTTTGAAGATCCAGGAGTGCAAGACTTACTTGTCAAGCTTTATCAAAAGGGTAAGGTAATTTACTTGCTGGTATTGTGATTGATATTACTCCCTCCCTCCCTCCCTCCCTCTAATGCTATTATTAAGAACCTGTTGTTTTATTCTTGTTTATATGATTCTCTATTTAATTTTTGTTTTCTATATTTTTCAGAGTGGAGTGAGGGACAGGTTACAGAGTATCTTGTTGCAACATTTGGTGATTATTTTACAGATGTTAAGATGTAAGTTTCTTTTGTTCAAACACCGGCAAAACCTTATTCATTGTTTTTCAATGCATTTATTGTTTTCTCATTGTGACCTTGAATTCATTGTTTTTCTGGGTTGTGCTGTTCTGAATTTAAGGTACATTGAAGAAAGATCATTTAGGAGATTTGTCGAGGCCTGTCTGGAGGAAACAGTGGTCGTTTATGTTGATTCTCTTCTAACACAGGTTAAATTTCTCACAAGTAGCTGACTTTTTATTGTGAACAACATAGGTTTGGGACTCCAGTGTTGAATAGTATTTCCAGACCATTTTATCACTTAATTGTATCTGTTAATGCGTTTTTCTAATTAATATTTGTTAATGCTTGTGATGGCAGAAAAACTACATCAAGGAAGAGACTATCGAGAGGATGAGATTAGATGAAGAGGTTCTGATGGACTTCTTTAGGGAGTATTTAAGTGTTTCCGTGAGTGCTAATCCTTGCTTTTGACGTTTTGTGAAAATATTGTCATCCAATATTTTATCGGAATAAATATTTGATGACAGTGTTTTCCATTTGCTTGTGGGATATGCTTATATTGTTAGTGTCTAATGCTTTTCCATTCTGATTTCGTGAAATTGGCTACAGAAAGTTGAAAGCAGAGTCAGAATATTGGGTGATTTGAGAGAACTTGCTTCGGCGGAGAGCTTGGATACCTTCACACTCATTTACACAAATATTCTTGAACATCAACCTGACTGTCCGGTAAACATTAACCCCAGACTCAATTGTTAATAATGCACGACTAGAACACTACCAATGAACTACTAACGCACTACAAAGCTATTATTAAAACACAAGAAATGCACTACAAAAACACTAAACAAACTGTATTGCATCTAGTCATTTTTCAAGCCCATTTTATCTAATTCATACAGTACATTCAAAACAAGTTATCCCAAGTTCCATGGAACTTTAAAGTCCCTCATGCAAACGCTCTATTAGAAATAATTACCAAAGTATTTCGCGTTTGAGTATATTGTAAATATTTATTGTCCATTTGCAGCCTGAGGTTGTTGAGAAGCTTGTTGCACTGCGAGAAGGCATACCACGGAAGGATGCCAAAGAGGTATGTGCAATCCCATGATTCCCTTTTTTTTTTTCTTCGTTTTTCCCCGGAGGAAGAATAAAACTATAACCATGCATTTCCCCGGGGGTGTAATAACATGTTTGTCAAACAGGTCGTCCAAGAGTGCAAAGAGATATACGAGAATTCTCTTGTCAATTCGAAGCCCGTAAAGCCGGGTTCGTTTTTCCGCGAGTGAAGTGCTTATCGAGCTCCAAGGGATCCATATGGCGGAAGTTAACCTAGTCGAACATGAACCGCTACTTGCAGATTTGTGCGTGTATCAGAAACACTGCTGCCAGTTATGTATATTTGATCAATTTTCTTCTTCGTTTTGTTACTTGTGACTTTGTAAGTATGCTACATTTCCCACACCATTAATTTTTGTTCTTTTCAATAAAATTCGTGTTTATATTTTTATTTTACATAAATTATGTGCTATGAATTACTTCTACTCCACTATTTGAATTAACTTTATGCAATTACTTGCAACTAATTGTGGCTCGAGAGGTTTATTTCTCTTTGTTGCAAAAATCATTTTCCCAAATATAGTATACCAAACACTTAGAGCATTTCTAACAATTTGTTAACTTTTTGATAGTGTAGAGAGTGAACAGCGTCGGAAAACTACTTTAACTAATTTCTTTAACTTTTCATCTTCAACAACACTCTATATTAACAAACTTTGAATAACAATTCATTTCAAGTTAATATTTTATTATCAATCATTTCAAATAGTAAAAAACCCAACTCACTCATTTTTTAGAACCACATTCTCTCTCTTTTCCACTTGGATCCATCCACCCTTGAGTTTTATTAGTTTGTTAACATTTAGCATTTGAACATAAACTCTATAAATTTAAAGAGCAACTGTTTATTTTGTTTTTATATTGTAATCATTTGTTGGAGAATTTAATAAGTTTTATACTGTTTGAAATAAAAAATAAAAGAATTCATCAATGCACTCGAGAGACTATGTTTGAATTCCCCTCCTGTTGTTTCATAAGTATTAACAGGGACCAAAAAAATAAAATAAAAAAATAAACAGGTCTCACGGTGGGTCGGGTTATGTAATTATCCTAAGTCCAATGATAACTTGCCCCAATCAAACAGGTCAAGTAGCCATTTAGCACTTTAACAAACTCCGAGACCCGCAGGCCCATTACCAAAGGCCATCCCCTCTCCACGTGATCACGAAAAACGGATTTAGAGAGAGAGAGACGCAAAAGGTTTTAGAGAGAAAAATTTTGAAATATAGGCGAAGAACCGTCAGTTTTCAGAAACGGAGAGAGAAGCACTTAGAATGTTAGGGCTTGCTTGATATCCTATTTGAATTTTTTTATAATTTCTTAAAATATTTCTTAAGAATTTTTTTTGAAAACAACTTTTTTTAAGATTCAAAAACTTGTTTGGTAAGCGATTTAAAATTTTTAAATCTTACAACTTAAACTGGACAAAAAGATCCATAAAAAGGGTTGAGAGAGAAAGAGGAGAGAAGAGGAAAGAAAGTAAGAGATGATTGGAGGAAAGAGAAAGAAGTGAGAAGATCAGAGAAGATAGAGAGGAAGAGGAGTGAGAGAAAGAACTGAGAAAATCAAGATAGCGGATTGAAGGAGAGACGAAAGAGGTAAAAAAAAAAAAAGAGAAGGGGGAGAGAGAAAGAAGAAAAGAGAGAGAGATTTGGAGTGAGAGGGGAGGAGGAAGAGAAAAGAAAAGAGTGAGTTTAAGTTTAAAAACTCTAAAAACTCACTTTTTATGTTTTTAGATAATAGACTATATTTTTTAGTTAGTCTTGAGTTCAGTTTTTGAAAATAGTCCTACCAAACAAGTTTTTAAGGCCTAAAACTTGAAAATTGTTTTTGAGTTTAAAAAGTTGGATTCAAGTAGAGTACCAAACATGCTCTTAGCATTCTCTCTCTCTCTTGATTTTTTATTCCAACACTTGCTTTAGTCTCTGTTTGTTGTGACATAAGTCCCTCCCTACAACTAATCAATTAATAATTCTCACAAGAACAAGGCCTACTCGACATAAATTATGAAGTTAATGAAACATTTCATAGGAATCTTTCACAAAACTATCAACTAATATTATCAACTAATCACAACGGTTCGTTATTAGATTGTGGTATTTGATTCGCCATATATTTGTATACTCTTTCATATGTATGGGAACATGGCGTGTGCTATGCATGAATGGTTGGAATTTTTCGAATGTCGGATCTAAACTGTGGAAAGACAAGGAAGAGGATCTGACGGTTGAAATGCATCTAACTATACTGATTTGTTATATGTTGGTTAGAACTCAGAACACAATTTTGTCTTACGTTGCGATATGTAATTGATTATTCATGCAGGTTGCTGAAGCTTGAGAAGGTCAAAAGATCAAGCACCGGAGGACGTCCCAATCCTTATGTTGACTCCGTATACATATATATTAAAGTTCGTTATTTACGTGTGTATATTTGCTCACCACTTTTAAATATTATAAAGTATTGTAAGAAGTGTTAAAATTTTGAAATTTGCGTCGTAATCAATTTCATCTAACAACTATTAATCAAATCCAAATAAAATAGTATGCCTTAAGTTCACTTGATGTTTTTGTTTCATATTAATTTATGATTTACTGTTTTAATTTGCAGATAGCATGAGAAGGTAACTAATGGAGACCCGGTTGAGCAAGCACGGGTCGAGTTGGCCAGAAATAATAGGGTTTTGGATGTGCTATCCACTTACCCTTTTTTACTTTATACATATCATCTTAATTTGATGCCGTCAGAGCGACTGAAATAAAAAAGATTAAATGATAGAAATTAACAAAGAATGTGAGAAATAAATAGAGGTGTGTGGATAGCATATCCCTAGAGTTCCAATCCGGTGGCTGCTCCCTTGAATCGGGTTGGGTAAATTTTGTTACGATGGATAGCTAAACCTGAGAGAATATATATATATAGGTATAAATATAGTGACACAAAAAAAGAAACAATTAAATTCTAAAGGTTTCAGCAAATACATAAGCAAAGAACAAAGAACCAAATTAGGGCGGTTTCAGCAACCCTTTTCATATTGTTATTAGCTAATACCAACCCATTTGTGCTAAAGAAACCGACAAGGTAATATTTTAATTAAAATGCTAATTATATTCTTAATCATGACAAGATCGATGGCAGGCTTATGATCGTTCAAGTAGCTTGAGCCTTGAGGCAATTAGAAAACTAAACCAGAGAGGTTCATGTGTACGACTATTGCTTGTACTACATTTAGGGTGTTTTTCTTACCGTTACTGTTATTTGTATGACATTTTACTAATGACTACCTTTCGTAATAAGAAAAGTTTATTTGTACGATTGTCCTCTCATGTGGTTATTAACACTTACAGGAGGAATCAAGAATTCATAAACACAGAGAAATTCTAAGAGAGAAGAAAGGAAACTGAATTGTATTTCACTAGAGGAAAACAGTTATTACAACCGACCTTATCTATTACAAATGAGAGAGAAACAATACTTATACACTAACACTCAGTCTAGGTTGCTTAGGACATAAGCCACAACTGATGTGGCAAATATACTAACCAAGCTTAAAATTGAAACAACGCTTAAGAAAATCTGGTCCATGTAGACCTTTAGTAAGAACATCAACCACAACTAAGTCACCCTCTTGAGTTGGGTGTGAGACCTTCATGCAGGCTCCATACATTAGCAAGAGACTTGCAGCATAATACATTCATACATTAGCAAGAGACCTGCAGCATAATACATGCTTACGAAATAACTTATCGTCTAATAGTATGTCCATTCAAATATTTATGTAAGCCTTATCTCTGTTAAAGAAGTCGATACTAAAAATAGCAACACTATTTTCTTGAGCATAAATATCTTCTACAACTAAAAGTAGTACGTATAAAAAAAGACTTTTTCATCTTGAATTTTGTTTAATATTTACAAACATTCAAAGTCGGTACATATTTCATCGTTCAATTTAATCTAAAACTAAAATTAAGATTGTTGGGCCTTAGTTTGACTTAAGTGACAATATGGAACCATAAAGTTGAAAGTGCATTGGCACTAAGGTTGGTCCTAAATTCTAGTCGTCACGTTGAATACCAACACAACGGCAGCCACAAGTTAAAAAATGGTTATAAAAATGGTCCAATGAGCCATTGAGGTTGAGGGCATGGGATATGAATCCTCTTCTGAGCTAATGGAGAGGATCCTCCTGACCCATCATCTTGGGTCGTTGAATTTTTATCCAACGGCTACAAACAGGAGGATTTCTTTAAAATTATAATAATTATAACCATTGGATAAAAATTTAACGGCCCACGATGATGGGTCAGGAGGATCCTCTCCATTAGCTCATGAGAGGATCCAAATCCAAGGACATGAACGTTCGCGGTAATAGGGGCCGTCAAACTAACGACCAAACGCGAATATTCAACGCGTAGCTGAGAACGTGACGCAGTATTTCCTTGAACCAAACTGAAAAAAATTAAAAGAATAATTAAACGAACTAGTCAAATCGTGGCCTAGAAAAATATGTAGGGGTCATTATTTTGACGTATGTCATTCAACTCTTTCTATATTTTGACTTTGCACAAATAGTGGAATTTTATTTCATTCTGGTCACCACGTTGACACATACAAAACATAAAAACCCCATGCAATTATATATTTTATGTCTATAAATTTGCATCTGAAGCGTGTAAATCTGAAATCATATTTAAATATGGAGAAATATTTTTTCTTATTACCCTTAAATGATGGTATAATGCTCATTATTCTATTTATTACTGTTAAATGCGTTTAAATTTAGTGATTTGTGTAGTGAATAGACACAAATCTTAAAATTTAAACTCATCAAATGAAGATAAATAGGTGGTAAGCATTACCATCACTTAATAGTGGTCAGCAAAAATACACATAAATATGAGTGTTTTCTAGCTGTTGAGGGTTGAATACTATTGCGGTTCATGACAACTTTATTTTTATTTTTTAATTTAACTTGAAAATTAAAAAAGAAAATGCAAATAAACTAAAAATTACTTTCCTAATGCAAAGGCATAAATATTTAGGATTTTTCATTTTGTTTTTATCATACAACTAAAGTCTTATTTATTTTTTATAAAATCGTAGAATTTGATTCCCTACCCCCTCTGTTGTTAGTTGTTGAAATCGTGCTAACCTTATACACCAACCTAATCTAAACTACCTACAACAAAATCCTTTTTATTAATAAAAAAGAGTGAAAAGACAATTTAATTTTTTAGCACAAAATAAAATTATGGACTGTAATGTAATTTTGCACAAATCAAATTTTGTAATTTTTTTTCTTCCCTCATCCATATACCATCATAGCATCATATCTTCTTCGTATCTCTACCCCACATCTGCATAAACCCTGCCAAAAACAAATAAAAAAAGCAAAGAAATTGCATTCGCCCAATAAGTGTGCGCGCTTAGGCTAGTATCTAATCAAACAACAGAATCTAGCATGTTATTACTAACCTTATTCCATCCACTTACCCTTAAAGAAAGATAAAATGATTGTTGAAGCTTTCCACATAAGAAGAAAATAATTAAAATAAAAGGGCACCACGGCAATTGACAGAAAATATGGGCCCTTAATATAAAAACCCAAACTATGGGACCGTCGGGAAGGCTATATAAAGGACCAAGTCTCCCCTTCTTTCTCGCAAACCATTTCTATTTCTCTTTTGTTGCATTGAGTTCTCTCTCTCTAGATTTTCTCTCTTTCTCTCTCTAGGAAAACAAAGAGGGAGAGAGAAAAAGATTGACAGAGAAACATAAAAATCTAGGAAGATGGCGGCGAAGTGGGTGGAATTATTGGATACGGGGGTGAGAATAGCAGCAAGGTTTCACTCTCACTGCCCACAAACTGGACGATTGTATTACCATCCTCCCTGCAGCTCCTCTACTTCTGGTCAAGAACACCGCCATCATCTTCAACCCCAGAAGAAGCCCACCACCAATGTCAGATCCGTTGATGACGTCATCACGGCCAGTTGCGGCGTCAGGGCGGCGTCGGCAGCTTATGCGGAGGCCAACACCACCAATGAGTTCATGTTGTATTCTGTTTTGTGATTAATTATAGAGAAACGAAGGAATGAAATATTAATTTGATTTTTCCTAATGAATTAGTACCAATATTTGTGGCGAGTTTTTATTTTTTATTGATATTTTTTTGTACAAAACGATAACAATTTTTTTGCTCTTCTTCGTTATTCTGCTTTTCAAAAAGGAGGGTGAGGGTTTTGCGGAGGATAAAATGCTCTAACACTACAATATGAAAATTGGAAATGTTATCAAACCTGCAAATTATATAAAACCCATAAACTACATAAAAAAAAAGGCAGAAATTATGAATTTACAAATTCTAATTGTTGCAATAATCAACATCAAATACTTACTGATAAATGATGATGTTGAGATGCATCATGGTGGATAATAATGAGTTAATGTCTGTTACGCTTAGGGATGGTTTGGTATTACTGTGCTTTGAAAAAAAACTGCTGTGAGAATAAGCGGCTGTGAAAAAAATCAGCAGAGTGTTTAGTAAACTTTTTTGTAAAAGTGCTTTTGAAAAAAAAGCAGTTTGATAGTGGGTCTTTTCATTAAAGGAGCACTGTAGCTCCGTGTGCTTTGAAAAAAAGTCAGTTTTCCAAAGCTACAAATAGCAGCTTCAGCTTTTTCCTTTGATTTCAGCTTATTCTCATAGCAGCTTCCAAAATAAGCCTTTTTTTTTTCAGTTTACCAAACACCTAAAACTTTCATAGCTTTTTTTTATGGATGTTTTTTTTTTTAAGCACCTCACTCCTAAACCACCCCTTACTGCGATTATTCCCAACATTCCCAAATCTCTGGAATGGCGTGTAGAGCTTTGTCTCAGGTATTCGCATCACCGCCCTTGTTGGTCCTTCCCGCTGTTGGCTTTTGTCGGCGATGTTGCAGGTGGGTTTATACCTGCGTGCCTTTTTCACCAATTTTGGATTTCTTCATGGTGAGATCTCATGTGGTCATGGAGGAAGCGGATCGAGCAAATTTCTGGTGGCCGCGTTGCCTGCAGCTTCTGTATAGTTTGTTTGTGTGTAGTGGGCTCCAAGTTTGGTCATGGGCCGTTTTCTTCTATGTGTTTGTTGCCCATTTTCTTTTGTTGTGAACTTGTTTTGGGCTTTTGTTGTACTTATTTTGGTTGGTAATGGTATTTACTTTCTATCAAAAAAAGAAAAGAAAAGAAGACATAATTCCATATCACATAAATCTTGATCAAGATAGAAATGATAGAACAACTAAATTGCATTCAAGGTTCGAAATAGTATCATGATTAGTTCACGTATACTTCTACTAATTTGAATAGTCATAACATGCTCCAGGATGTTTTGGGCTTTTGTTGTACTTATTTTGGTTGGTAATGGTATTTACTTTCTATCAAAAAAAAAAGAAAAGAAAAGAAGACATAATTCCATATCACATAAATTTTGATCAAGATAGAAATGATAGAACAACCAAATTGCATTCAAGGTTCGAAATAGTATCATGATTAGTTCACGTATACTTCTACTAATATGAATAGTCATAACATGCTTCTAGATGTCAATCATAGTTTGTGGATATATGTATTGATCAAATGCTAAAAAATTACAACCATTGAAACTTGAATTTATTATTTCAGCCAATTTCTCAAATTAAATTCACTTGTATTTGTTTATAGGAGGGAGGAAATGAATTTAGAAATTTCGGTCTCGTCCAAATTGGAAAAGCAACCATGAAGTAGTTGTTTTTTTTTTTTTTTTTTTAGATCAAATAGCAATTAATTAAAAAAGACCTAGATTTTACATAAGATATACATGCCAAATGTGATCAGGAACAAAATGCCATATGTACCCAAAGAAACACCAGAATTATACAATTATAAACTCAATAGAAATATAATATAATTCCTCAACTACATATAACCTATATCCAACCAACGTAAAAGATAACACTTATGAGGACTAAATCTTGCATGTCAAAAATAAAGGTACCACAAGAAAAAAACTGCACTACCCTATGATGATCTTGCAATTATCGACAAAAAACATTGCTCCAAGGCTCCTCCAACAAATGTCATCAAGGTCCTCTAGAACTCCAATTTCCTCTCCATGTATCTCGCCCTCCAACTCCTTAGACTTCAAATCACGCACGGCCAACCCTCTATTGCTTTCCTCCTATACCAAATTCGCCCCGTGATATGATTCATCTGTATTCATCTGTAGCTGAGGAATTGTATTATATTTATGATGAGTTTCTAATTCTATAATTGTGGTAATTCTTTGGGCATGTATAACATTTTGTTTCTAATCCAGGAATTTCCTATGTGTTTTTTTATTTTATTAAAGTTAACTAAAATCACTTCCCTTCACCCTTGGTCCATCTGTCACTAAAAACCGCCTCGCCCATGAAAACTTGACATGCAAGGAGAAAAACATGTGGCCATGTAGCTGCTTTGATCCCTAGCTGGGTCTTTCTTGAGAACCCCCTCGAAGATGTAGGCCATGGGGAGGACAAGGCCAATGAGGACGCCGAGGACGAAACGCCACTTGTATATCGTGGTTCTGTGAGAGCTCCTAAGGTTCTTGCAGATATGGTGGAGAGTAGCTGTGTATGTTAACTTGACTTTTGATCTGGAAAAATTATGGATGGTGTGTATTTGACTAGTCAAATACACACCATCCATAATTTTTCCATACCAAAATTTAAGCCAACAGACACAGCGTCTGCCGCAGACTCCACCATATCCGGCGTCTCGTCTTCTCCAGTGACCTAAAATTTAGAACATATTGCACAGAAATACCCAGATTAAAACCATTCAATTAACAACCCAAATCTTTGACCGAAGAGAAAATCAACAACCCAAAGCCTCAATAAAACAACAGAAATTATCTCCAGCTGACAGATTTATTAAACTTCTTAACGTAAAATTCATAACAAATTGCACTCAAATCCTAAAATTTAACAGTTAATTGACAAGAACAATCCTGTTAAGAAAATTAAGCCGGAAAAAACAATGGGAAAAATCTAAAAAGATGACAAAATTAATACCTATGGAACAGTTGAGTTTTCCGGCACAAATCCAGACAGCAAGAAAACATGAAAAATAAATAAAAAACCTAAGTAAAATGTTCCTTTTCTTGTTCTTTCTTTTCACAAATAAAACAGAGAATCAGTTTTTTGTTCTTTCTTTCTTTTCACAAATAAAACAGAGAATCGCAAAAAAATGAAATTGATTGAGGACAACGAGAGTTAATTAATTAATATCAACAACCTTGTCGCGGAGCGCAGGTGCATTGTGGAGGAGGTGGCGCTAAAGGCCGTGCCGGACAGGCAAACGTGCTAGCCTGACATTGGCGGAGCGCAGCAGAGAGCGGCGTTGCCGATGAATTTGAGGCGCTGGAACGACGGCGATTCAGAGTAGGAGGAGTGGGTCAGTGCTCCTTTGTTCCTGAAATCGTAGCCCACGATTTGCTCCACGAACCGCTGCATTTCCGGCGATGGCTATGGGAATGATGATTTGCGGAGGTTTTTTTGTAGTACTGTTTTTAATTTTTATGGGTTTTTGTTGTGTTTTATGAGGTTGGCACTTGGAAGTTGAAGACTACTCTTGTTGTTTTCAGTTTGAAGCACCTGATTGGTTGGTGATGGGTTGGAGTGCAACTACTTCTTTCAGACCAATTTCAGTTCTTGAATTTATAAGTGGTCATCAATTTCTGCTCCAGATTAAAAAAAAAAAAAATTATATTCATACATATCAAATTGCTTCTCCCAAATCTTTTTAATTTTTTAATATTTATTTATCAAGTGCTAGTGGTGTGTAGAAAATATTAAAAATGTGTGGGAGAAGTAATTTGGAGTGTGTGAATATAATTTCTCTAAAAAAAAAAGGATTAGCATCGATACAAATGGCCTTCCGTGCGTATGGAAAACCAAGTGAAAATGATGTATATCAAGATTTTTCACATATTTCTTGTTAATTTTTGTTATGTGATATTCTTCAATTTATTCTATCCGACAATGGTATGTGGATAGCACCACCCGAATGTAAACTCAGATATTTAGGGCTTACTAAAAGGCAAAATTTGGGTATATGAACACTAAATGTCACCCAATCCTTAAAACATAAATTTCAGAACCTAAAATATATTAATTGTGGTGGAATGATTATAACCCTAATTTTTTTGGGTATGAATTTTTTTTGTAATTTTGAATTATGTTATCTTAATTTAATTTATATGAATGTTTTAACTTTAAAAAAATTAAATTAAATTCCAACAAAATTCTCAAAACCGAACAAATCATATCAACTAACCAAACTTCAATATACAAACTAATTAACCAACCAAAGTTTCATACACACACCAACAAAACTTCAACATACACCAACAAAATTTCAACATACAAATCAACCAACCAAATTTCAATACACACACTAACCAAACTTCAATATATTTGACGGTTTTCATAAGGAGACCAAGATGGAATCAAAGCGTGGCTGCCCCGCACGTGTTTTTACTTGCTAGTCAAGCTTTTGTGGACGGAGGCGTTTTCCAATAAGTTTTCGACCCCGATTAGGGTTTTCGTGCAGCCTTTCTTTAATGCCAAGAGGATTTTCACGCTTGTGGATTGGGTTAGGAACCTAGGAATGAATTTTGCCAAGAACAACCAATCTTGGGCAACTATCACTATATATCTAGTAATAACAAAAATGCTACTTTTATAGCTTACTGGATATTTTAAGAGATCCGATTAGGCTATTTTTCATACCGTATTTGGTCAACTTCTCTAATAGATAAAGGATCCACATGTGCTCATGAGTCTTACCTCTGTTAGGTGGTACAAATGTGATAACTGATAAGTGTAGTATTACTCTAGTAAAAAAAAAAAAAAAAATTTTGTTAACAAATCACAATGAAGCTTTAGTATGTTCAACTCAATACCTAATCAGAAAAAACATATGGGAAATTCCTAGATCAGGAACAAAATAACATACATGCCCAAAGAATCGCCACAATTATACAATTATAAACTCATAATATAATACAATTTTTGAGCTACAGATGACTTATATCCAACCAACATAAAAGATATAACACTTATGAAGACTAAATCTTGTATGTCAAAAATAAAAGTAACACGAAAAAAAAAAAACTACACTACATATGGTGATCTCAAAAAACCATGACTACGAGTCTCCTCCAACAAATGTTGTCAAGGTCCTTTAGAACTCCAACTTCCTCTCCACGTATCTCACCCTCCCAACTCCCTAGACTTCGAATCACCCGCCGCCACCATCTTACTCCGCTGAACGCCACCTTCATGCGCCTTTGTAAAATCACTTTTCGTTTCAATCTTACAATTGGTTCATTGCTAACAACCTGGATAGGATAGCAGGTTTTCAAATTAATCGACTTTTTGCACTCAACACCCTCAAGTTCCTCCGCCCAACACCAAGATCTCGTCTTTCAGTTTTTTCCTTTCTTTGTTCTTTTATATTTTCTATTTGGTCGCTTTAATTTTAAAATTTTAATTCAATATGTTTAGTTCATATGACGTATAAACGAAGATCTATTCCGGTTAGAAGATGCAATTACGAGACAGAAGCTTAGAGCCAAAGTACATAGAGGAAGACCTAGGAAACTTGGACATATACTTTAAGAAAAGACTTGGACTACTTAGATCTAATGGAGAACATGACAAAACCAATCGCAATGACGTTCTAGGATTCATATAGCCAACCTGACTTAGTGGGATGTTGTTGTTGTCGTCGTCATCGTAGTTCATATGATGTGTTACCACATAAACAACCTTGAAGTCGCATAACTTGAAGACATAAATAAATATAACAGATACTTAACAAGCTTGGCGGAATCTAAGAGAAGTCGGACGAAAAATAAGTTCAAGGGTATTATGGGCCGAAACTAGAGTGTCAGGAAGAAAGGTTAGGTTGAAATCGAGTTTTGGGGCATAACAAAAAGTGAGCCTACTCCTAACATGTTGACAACTGCAAATTTGAATTGTTCTCTTTTAGTGTCAGTGAAAGCCCTGAAGTTTAAATTTCGTAAATGGTAAGTTCTATTAATTTATTCTCCTTAGTATTAAGAAACATCATTTTATCCAATAGACTCGCTTTGTCGATGAACTTCTTGGGCGTTCTTTCTGCCGAATCTGCTGTCTGCAAGCCTTTGGTATTCTTCAACTTTGTCCAAGTTGAAGTGAAGAAATTCCATTTGCAAATCCAGATATGTAATTCCCAATTCTCTACAATTTCACGTCGTTTCCCTTGAATGAACCGTAAAGAGATTGTGAGCTTCTGAAGCTTAAAATATCGTCTATTTTGACGCTGCAAGGTTGCAGCAGCGAACTTTTATATGTCATGTACTCGGATGAATGTGAGTTCCTGTACACACGTACGCTTAATGACCTCTTTTGAGGAGCACCAACCTTTATATGCTCATTGAAAAAGTCCATCATTTCAATTTTCTTGCTGTGTATGCTGCCTCAGTGCTGCAATCTGTTTCAAGTTTCAACCACATTAATAGGGGCCACATTTTCTTTCCTGCTTTTTTCATTCTTACAGTTCTTAAACGTTTACCGTTTTCTGCTAACTAGTTTGTAATGTTACTTGAATATATCATGAATTATTGTAATGAAAAGGATGATAGGCATCGATCACCTCGAATTGTACTAGTATCTTAAAACATTGAACTCAAGTTAGGGAGATATTCATACCTCAGACTCTTTCCTATCAAACTTGAGGGTCCCGACAGATATCTCCCCCCAATAAAATCCAGCTTCTTCCCTTAAGTTCCTGTGCTTCTCAAGCTTCATGTCGATCAAAGCATTTACATTGCTCTACATAACAACAAGTTCAACAGTTATTTATTGGGGAGAAATCATATACGACATCGTACAATAAAAATCTTCTATCGGGTTCACATTTTATCCAGAAGTGATTGAATATTGACATTGAAAGACATCTACTATCTGTAAATGGGGATACGAATCATCGCAAGAAAGACTGATGGAAGGCGGAAGATAATATGGGTGAGGAGAATAAACAAGGCAGACAGACCGATGCAAGGTAAAAATGGTATCACATATAAGGAAGTCTAATGATTTTCCATACAAAAGAGATTAAAGCTGCATAAAAGATGCAGTGATGTGAAACCAGAGAACCGGAGTTAAGGATAGAGCCTAGTTTATCTCACCTTAAATTCGTCATTTGGCATCTCATAAAGTTTAGTCTCGAACCCCTTGAGGAATTCCTCCACTCTCAAATCGATATGTGCTGGATCCTGTTAAGATCAACATAATAACGTACTTTGGAATAGGTAGATAAAACAACAGGGCAACAATAATGGAAGCATGACCAACCTTCACTTTCGATTGTATAATAAACTGCACCCCAGAATCATTCCTGCATTAGGACAAAAGAAAGGAACGTAACTGAGAAAAAATAAATCACAAGATGATTAGATGAGGCGTGAAATTTAGGGATAAGGCATTTGAATTTGTCTCATGCCTCAGCTGGAGGAACGTGATGTGACCAAAGAAAGAATGAAGTAAACTCTTGTTCAGGAAAATAACACCTTTGGTGTAACGATGTAAGCGAAAAACATTACAGGTCACCATCAATGGAAGCAAGTAATTAACTGTATAACAGAATCTTACCATATTCATTCAAGTAATCCATCAACAACCGAGTAAAAATATTAGTTAGGATTTC